TTGAGTGTCATAAGTGCTCTGAATTTGACTGAATTTCCTGCTAAGCAGTTATTTAAAGTAGAAGTTTGATGTATAAACTACATTATATAAATACACAGAGAAATGCAGAGTGTGGGACATGAGGAGTCCTCAGAGCCATGGGTGGGGGTTGCAGGATTTTCCCTGAGTGACCCAAAATACCTGGGAGGGCTTGGGCTATGCTGCCAGGGAACAGGGGACAGGACAAGGGGAAATGGCCTCAGGCTGGGCCAGGGCAGGCTCAGCTTGGCCAGCAGCAGGAATTTCTGCCTGGAAAGGGAGCTCAGGCCTTGGCAGGGGCTGCCCAGGGAGCTGCTGCAGTCTCATCCCTGGAGGTGTGCAGGGAATTCCTGGATGTGGCACTCAGAGCTCTGGGCTGGGGACAGGGTGGGGATCAGGAACAGGTTGGACTCCATGGGCTGAAGAGAAGCTCCACTGATCCAAAAGCAGAGGATGAAGCCGTTCCTGTGAGTGCAGATCCTGGGTGGAATTCACCAGGGGATCCTCAGGAAGCTTCCCCTGAAGGAATTGTGCAGGAATTCCTGCATTTAGAAATGCTGATATTTCTACCCAGTCTTCAGCAGGAAGAAACAAAGTGCCAGAACCAAACCAGAATCATTTTCACCTCCTGTTGCTGGCAGCTGCTCTGGGCAGGGCCTGGCCCTCAGAGGACATGAAGCTGCTCCAGTAAAGCAGCTGCCACCCTCCAGCTGTGACCTGGCACTTCCCTGGCTCCCAGGGCTTCCTCTGTGCCAAAGGATAATGCAAAAATCTCCAGTTCAGGAGGGTGTTTTATCCCTTATTCCTGCTTTGCCAAGCACAGGGCACTGGCAGCACAGAGCAGCCTTTAACCACTGCAGGTGCTTCACTTCTCTGCCCCAGGAGCCCTTGCTCGGATCTATTTTAACCTTGCCCAAACCTTCCAGTCTGTTTTCGGTACCTGACTTTTTACAGATGCCAAATACAGAGACTTTGACCACCCAGCTGGCCAAACAGAACTCTGGGAGCCAGGAGGGACTCCTCAGTTGTACAAAGACTCAAGCCAAGCTGATCACTGGCTAATGGAGAAGGATTATCCATAATCTGCCCTAGCTCATTTTTCCCTTTTCCCTGAAGGTTGGCTTTACAACCTCTTTTTTCCCTTTCCTTTTTATTTAACATGGAAACTCGTTCTGCTGGATGAGCCCCATGACTGCAGCTGTGCTTCATCACCAGCACAAACCTCCTGCAGCTGCTCCCACACAGCCCTGGAGCCAGGTGAAGGAGGCTTCTGCACACTTCAACCTCCAGGATGGCTTAAAACACCCCAGAACACCACAAGTCCCCCCAGCACCCTTTGAGAATCATGGAATTGTTTGGGTTGGAAGAGCCCAACCATCCCCAGCAGTGCCCAGGCCAGCACTGAGCCCTGTCCCCAGTGCCACACCCACAGGGTTCCACATTCCTGCAGGGATGGGCACTCCATCCCTGCCCTGGGCAGCTGTGCCAGGCTTTGGGCAGCTTTTCCATGCAGGGATTGTTCCCCATCTCCACCCTGTGGTGCTCTGGGCTGGTTCCACCAGCACAGTTTGGTGAGGAGCTGGAGCTGCTCCACCTCCAGAGCCAAGGCACGGGGTCAGTCTCACCCCAATGGGCACAGGGAGGCCCCAAAAGGCCGTGCCAGGGGAGCTGTGCCCCAGCTCTGCCCTTACCTGCACGGGGCACTGCCCAGAGCCGCTCCCTGAGCGTTCCCGCTGCTCCCGGCCCCTCTCGGGGCCCATGTGGCTCTGCAGAGGCTCCCAGGGCTCCGTTCTCCCTCCCAAAATCCAGGAGTTGCTTTGTGCTGCCAGAGCACTTTGTTTTTGCTCATATAAGGAAGTGGCTGCCGATGTTATCCGGACACGCTTCCTGTTTTATTGGGGATGAGCGCAGCCCTCCTGCCACGGAGGGCTCGGGGCAGCTCCTGCCTGCCCCACTCTGCCTCCAGCCCCCATCCCCTCCTCTCACAGCCTGACCCTGCTCCCCAGAGCAGGAACAACCAGCTGTGCCCTGTCTGAGCACTGCTTCCCACCAACCCTCGGGTTGGGCCAGGTCCCAAAGGCTGGGGGATGCTGCTGCCCCACGCTCACAGCCCAGGCTGCCTTTGGGATGTTCTCCGCTTCAACCCCCAGATTCAGGATTTTGCTCATGAGGAAGGAGGTTTTGGTGTGTTCCATGTGCCTGGAGGTGGCCCTGGAGGAGAGCTGCACTCCAGGCAGGGCTGATGCTCCAGGGATCCTCCTCACTGGAATGGAGCGCCCTGCCGGTTAAAACCAGTGAACAAACGGAGCGAGAGAAAATAAAAGCAGCAAGAAAAGGCTGAGGGGAACCCTGAGCATCTCTGTCAGCACCAGCCCTGCCTCTCCTGGTGCCCCAAAGCCAGGATGGAAGTTGGGATGGGCACTGCCAGGGGCTCCAAGGTACCTGACTTTTTACAGATGCCAAATAGAGAGACTTTCCTCTCATTTCCACTTCCCTCACCCCTGACTGCAGCACAGGGTGATGAACCATGGCTGGGATGGAGCTGAGCCCATTTTCTGCTTCAATTCTGCTCTTCCTGGCGACTTCCTGGACACTGAACGTTGATTTTTGTATGGAGCAAGATCGTGAAGCTGCAGTGTTTGCTGGAGGAAATGGAAAGAACTCTTCCAGATGGATAAAGGAAATGAAATAGTGAAACCAAAACAAAATCTTCCCTGCAGATTTTACAGACCTTTACAAACTTGTGCTGGTTTGAGATGGAGGGACCTTAAAACCCACCCAGTGCCACCCTCAGCCATGGCCAGGGACACCTTCCATGGTCCCAGGTGGCTCCAAGCCCTGTCCAGGCTGGCCTTGGGCACTGCCAGCACAGCTCTGTGCCCACCCCAGGACCCTGCTCCCAGCACAGCTGCTCCAGTACAGAGCCCTGGGGGCTGCACTTGCTGAAAATGACCCCAAAGTGTCACTGGGTGCCTGAAGAAGGTCATTCATAGCCATCTGAATTTAAAAATGCTTCAGGCACACATTGAACTTCACAAAATCCCAGAACTCCTGAGGCTGGAAAATCCCTCCCAGCCCATGGAGCCCCAGCTGTGCCTGATCCCCACCTTGTCCCCAGCCCAGAGCTCTGAGTGCCACATCCAGGAATTCCCTGCACACCTCCAGGGATGAGACTGCAGCAGCTCCCTGGGCAGCCCCTGCCAAGGCCTGAGCTCCCTTTCCAGGCAGAAATTCCTGCTGCTGGCCAAGCTGAGCCTGCCCTGGCCCAGCCTGAGGCCATTTCCCCTTGTCCTGTCCCTGTGCCCTGGGAGCAGAGCCCGAGCCCTCCTGGCTGTCCCCTCCTGGCAGGGACTTGTGCAGAGCCACAAGGTGCCCCCGGAGCCTCCTTTTCTCCAGGCTGAGCCCCTTTCCCAGCTCCCTCAGCCTCTCCTGGGGCTCCAGCCCCTTCCCAGCTCCGTTCCCTGCCCTGGACACGCTCCAGCCCCTCCAGGGCTCTCCTGGCAGGAGCTGGACACTGATGACCATTCCCAGCCTCGGCAGGGCTGCTCTCAAACCCCCCCGAGGGGATGGGGGAGGTCAGTGCCTGGGAGGGTAAATCCACATGGAATGCTGTCCCCTGGCTCTGGAAGGGCTGCTCAGGAGAGGAAACACAGGAGACAAACTCCCAGGGGAGGGAGGGAGCTGCAGCTCCAGGAATCCCTGGCCCAGAGCAGCCAGCCCTGCTTTGTTCCACACATTGTTCTCCATGGAATTCTGAGAGGGATCTGGAGGAGAAGGCCAGGGCCAGCTGGGAATTCCTTGGAGTGAGTGGATGTGGGATGTTCATCCAGCCTGCAGAGCTGCTCACACAGGAACCACGCTCAGAAGGGACAGGAACCCCAGTGACCACAGCTTCTCCTCTGCTTCCCCACCATGTCTAACTCATCCATCACTGGGTGCTCACCCCCTTCAGAGCATTAACCCCCAAAAAACAGGACTTTGTGCCAAAAGCCTAAATGCCAGTCCAGGAAAAACCATCAGAAGCAGAGCTCAGAGAGGAGCAACCCCCCTTTTTTATATTTCTACTTTCACATTGTCTTGTTCTGGGTACTTCTGGCAGCTGCTTCAGGGGAGGATGGAGAGACCATCTCCATTCTTTCTGGTTCCTCCTTCCTTTCCAGCCCTTTGGTAATGTGCAATATAAAATGTATATCTCAAATCTCTACATGTATTTCTACATAAAGATATCTCTAAAATAGACATAAATTCCCTCACAAGCTTTTACCTAATATTGGAACATTGGAGATGTAGGAGAAGCAGCCAGAATCCCCCTTATTGACCAAATATTTCGAGAGAATTTGTTAAAAATGAGAATATTTCATCCAGTCTGAAGCTTTCCTGTCAAAGGATGGATCTGGAGTCAAGTTTAATTTCTAAGAGGTTTTTTTTTCCCCATTTTGTACCTTCCTGGTGCTTTCAGTGCTTACAACTCCACATAACACAGTTTGGTGTGGCTGCAGGGCAGCTCTGGGTGGGGCTGGCCCGGGTGACCCCCCTGGGCAGGGTTTGGCAGCTCTGGGACAGCTCTGGGACCCCTCTGCCCCACCCAGCAGTCCCAGGGCACTGGAAATACTCTTAAAATAATGGAATTTAGCCAAGGAATTCTGTGCCTGAGTGAGGGGAGAAGGAGGCAGGAAGGAGTGGACTGAAGCGTGAACACTGCCAGGATTCAATATCCAAATATTGCCTGGCTCACGAGGGAGAGGAGCCAGCTCGGGCTCAAACGCTCCAGAGGCAGCAGCTCCCCTGCAGGATGCAGGACATGGCAGGGAAAGGCTGGCAGGAGCAGCCTGGCAGCTCCTGGGCAGTGCCAGAGGTCCCTGTCCCCTTCCCTGCACTCCCCAGCTCAGCTGGGGTCGCTCTGGGATGTGCAGAACGATCCCCAGCGAGCCCTTCCCGCGCAGGGAGCAGCTGCAAGCTCCTCTCCCCAGAGGGGAACTCACCTTTCCTTTTCCACCTGCTCTTCCTGCGGTCCTTGGCGCAGCCGTCGCTGCTGGAGCTGCTGTGCTCCGAGCTCTGCGAGTCCGAGTGGCCATCGCTGCTCTCCTCAGAGCCCGACAGCTCCTTCAGCCCGTCCGGGACGTCCTTCTGCCAGGGGACACCACAGAGCCACAGCAGCGTCACCACAGAGACAAAAGCCCCAAAGTCGGGCGGGGTTTGGTCACCCAGCACCGACTGTGGCCCTGTCAGTGCCCCACAGCCCTCGGGGAGTCCCTGGAAACGCCGAGCGTGGGTGACACGTCCTGAACTCTGTCCCCATTGTCACCTCCCTGTGACTCCTCAGCTGCCCTTCCCCGAGTTCCCCATCCCTGACCAACTCCAGCACAAGGAATGGAGGCCCAGGAGCCAGGGAATGGCTGCCAGTGCCAGAGGGCCGGGCTGGATGGGATTTGGGGCAGGAATTGTTCCCTGGCAGGGTGGGCAGGCCCTGGCACAGGGTGCCCAGAGCAGCTGGGGCTGCCCCTGGATCCCTGGCAGTGCCCAAGGCCAGGCTGGACCCTGGGACAGTGGGAGGTGACCCTGCCATGGCAGGGGTGACACTGGATGGGCTCCAGAGACAAATCCACACCAAATCAGGAATGGTGTGAGCCAGCTCCCCTCCAGTAATTAAAACACAGCTTAATTGTAATGATGCCAATCAGACAATTCCCCATTATTCCCTCTGTGGCTGACACTGAGGACAAGGTGACTTTCCATCTCTAGACACAAGCTGAGAGCAGTGAAATTACCCTTTAAGAGCTGGAGTTTCATTAACATTTTAATGACTTTCACTTCTGGGACAGTAATTGCCATCAACAAACTGCCCTGTGGGTAACGGGGAGCATCTGCAGCTGCACCTTCACAGGCGAGGAGGGAGGGATCCTTTATGGTACCAGCGAGGAACTGTCCCCTTTTGGGATTATCCTGGATCATCTGGACACCAGGAGCAATTTCTCCATGGAAAGGGTGGGTCTGGAAGGGGAGGTTTGGAGTCCCCACCCCTGGAGATGCCCAAGGAAGGGCTGGGGACAAGGAGGGGATCAGGCACAGCTCGGACTGGACAATCCCACTGGGCTTTTCTGCCCTCAGGGACTCTGGGATACCGACCCAAGGCTTTTTTTGGCACTCACCTTGAGGGTGTAGACGCCCATGCGGCCCGGGACCTTGTAGAAGATGCCCTCCTCACCACGGGAGTTGGTGTGCAGCATGGCATTCAGGCAGGCCAGGGGGGATGTCCCACTGCAGAGACACGCTGTGAGAGCCTGCCCAGCCACCCCACAGCACAGCCAGGGCTCCAGAGCCACCTCCAGAGTCACCTCCTGAGCCCCAGGGGACATCCCACTGCAGAGACACGCTGTGAGAGCCAGCCCAGCCACCCCACAGCACAGCCAGGGCTCCAGAGCTCCTGAGCCCGAGGGAAGCTCCACCTGCAGCTGCCATGGAGAGCACCAGGGAAAGCAGCCCCTGGAATCCCAGGAAAAAGCAAACAAGGATGCCCTGGCTGGCCAAGAATGCTCTGATAAATATCAAAGCAGCCCCAGAGCTTGCAGGCTGTGGGTGAGCCCCAGAGCAAGTTTGGGGTCAGTTTGGGCTCCAGAAGGATTCAAAGTTGTGTGGAGGTTTTTTTCCCAAAAAACCCGTGTTGTGCTGGGCTGAGGCCTGTGGGGCAACAAATGGAAATCAATTGTGCAATTCCCCCTGGGAAGGGGGCAGCTCTCCCATCCCAGCCAGGAGTGGGGACAGATCCATCTTTTCACCAGTGTTGGAGGGGTTCTTGTTTGGTTTTTAAGCCCCTCTGCTGCAGACAGGAGCGAGGCCGGGCAGGTGCTGTGTCCCCAGGCAGGGACAGGAGGAGCCTCTGCCACCCTGCTGGGAGTGACACCGGCACCAGCACAGCCCTGGGCAGGAATTCCTCCCCTCCCAAAGCCCAGGTGGGCAAGAGGCCACTGGCCCTGGGCTGTGCCAGCTCTGGGGTGGCAGCAGGGCCAGGGCAGTGCCCGTCCCCTGTGCTGGCACTGCTGGGGCACCTCCAGTGCTGGGGGCAGCTCTGGGCCCCTCCTGCCAGGAGAGCCCTGGAGGGGCTGGAGCGTGTCCAGGGCAGGGAACGGAGCTGGGAAGGGGCTGGAGCCCCAGGAGAGGCTGAGGGAGCTGGGAAAGGGGCTCAGCCTGGAGAAAAGGAGGCTCTGGGGGAGCTCAGAGCCCCTTGCAGGGCCCAAAGGGGCTCCAGGAGAGCTGGAGAGGGACTGGGGACAAGGGCTGGAGGGCCAGGAGCCAGGGAATGGCTGCCAGTGGCAGAGGGCAGGGCTGGATGGGATTTGGGGCAGGAATTGTTCCCTGGCAGGGTGGGCAGGCCCTGGCACAGGGTGCCCAGAGCAGCTGGGGCTGCCCCTGGATCCCTGGCAGTGCCCAAGGCCAGGCTGGACACTGGGACAGTGGGAGGTGTCCCTGCCATGGCAGGGGTGACACTGGAGGGGCTCTGGGGTCCCTCCCAACCCAAACCCCTGTGGGATTTGATGATTTGATGCCCCACAGTCCCTCCCAGCCTGGGAACAGCAGGGATCACACGGAATCCCTCCCATTCCCGGGAAGCACTAGGGTGGGGAGGAGAGCCCTGCCCAGGCCCTGAGCTGTGCCCACATCCCCAGCAGTGCCCTGACAGGACCCAGAGCTGTGCCCACATCCCCAGCAGTGCCCTGACAGGACCCAGAGCTGTGCCCACATCCCCAGCAGTGCCCTGACAGGACCCAGAGCCACACTCTGGAAGCTCCCCCAGGAATGGAGCCCAGGCAGGACCATCTCTACTAAAGCTTTCCACCTCTGCCACCTCCACTGCTCCTACACAACTGATTTAACAGCTTCTCCTGGGTTTTGTTTGTTTTCCTGGCACTGCCCCAGCCTGGCACAGCTCAGCAGAAAATGTCTGTGCTTAAAATCAGCCACCAAATCCCACCCAAGCCCACAGGGAATGGGTCTGGTGTGGGGAGAGCTCGCCCTGTCCCCTGAGAGCTCCCTGAGGAGCCACAGCCTGTTCCAGCCAGCCCTGCCCTGCTGCAGGGGGCAGCTCCACTGACCAGCCTGACCAGCCTGACCTCTCTGACCAGCCTGACCTCTCTGACCAGCCTGACCTCTCTGACCTCTCTGACCAGCCTGATCTCTGACCAGCCTGACCTCTCTGACCTCACTGACCAGTCTGACCTCTCTGACCAGCCTGACCTCTGACCAGTCTGATCTCTGACCAGCCTGACCTCTCTGACCAGCCTGACCTCTCTGACCAGCCTGACCTCCCTGACCTCTCTGACCAGCCTGACCTCTCTGACCAGCCTGACCTCTCTGACCAGCCTGATCTCTGACCAGCCTGACCTCTCTGACCTCTCTGACCAGCCTGACCTCTCTGACCTCTCTGACCAGCCTGACCTCTCTGACCTCTCTGACCAGTCTGACCTCTCTGACCAGCCTGACCTCTCTGACCAGCCTGATCTCTGACCAGCCTGACCTCCCTGACCAGTCTGACCAGTGCCCCCAGCAGCTGCAGGGGCACAGCAGAGGGGCAGCTGCTGCAGGGCCACCAGAGCTGTGCCACCAGCAGCTCCAGCTGAGCTGACCTGATCTCCACGGACACAGGAACCCCAAACTGGACACAGGAACCCCAGACTGGACACAGGAACCCCAGACTGGACACAGGAACCTCCAAAATGGAAACAGAAACCCCAGACTGGAAACAGGACTCCCAAATTTGCCACAGGAACCCCAAACTGGACATAGGAGCCCCAGACTGGACACAGGAACCCCAAACTGGACACAGGAGTCCCAAACTGGACACAGGAGTCCCAAACTGGACACAGGAACCCCAAACTGGACACAGGAACCCCAAACTGGACACAGGAGCCCCAAACTGGACACAGGAGTCCCAGACTGGACACAGGAGCCCCAGACTGGACACAGGAACCTCCAAACTGGACACAGGAGCCCCAGACTGGACACAGGAGCCCCAAATTGGACACAGGAACCCCAAACTGGAAACAGGAACCCCAGACTGGAAACAGGAACCCCAAACTGGACACAAAAGCCCCAAACTGGACACAGGAGCCCCAGACTGGACACAGGAACCCCAGACTGGACACAGGAGCCCCAGCCTGGACACAGGAGCCCCAAGTTTATCCCCCCCTCCCAAAGCAGCCCCAGAAGGAGAGGGGACCAAGGGCAGCTGCTGCCCCAGGGCTGATGAAGGTGTTGGGGCCGTGCTGGCCCTGCCTGACCCTGGGAAGGAACTCGGGGTGTTTCCCTCGGCCCTGGCTCTGTGCTCACCCTCAGTCCCACGGGGGGCTGGGATGAGGTTTATCCCTGGATACGGGTTCTCCTGGGATGGGAGGACTGCAGCCCTTGAGCTCAGAATCCCCCAGCCCCAATTCCCTGATTCCCTTCTCCCACTCCCTGTGTTCTGCCTGGAATGCAGCAGCTGCCCAAGCCCAGCCCCAGGAACCAGATCCTGGTTATTTTATTGCCCTTTTTCCTGATTTGACCTGTGAAGGTCATCTCCTCCATCTGCTGGGAACACACACTGCAATTCCCACCATTCCCCCTCAGGAGCAGCCCCTGGAGAAGCAGAGGGTGCAAGGGATGAGCTTCTGCCTGCCCCAGCTCCACCTGCACCCCCTGCTCCCCCTCACTGCCTCCCACCCCTCCCAAATCCACCCTCACTCCAGCACTGCCAATGTGCCAGTCCTGGGGGCAGCTCCCAAACCGGGACCCATCCCTGGGGAGAGCCCCTGGAGCTCAGCAGGAGCAGGGCAGGGTCAGGAGAGCCCCTGGAGCTCAGCAGGAGCAGGGCAGGAGCTCCTGGAGCTCAGCAGGAGCAGGACAGGAGCTGCTGGAGCCCCTGGAGCTCAGCAGGAGCAGGGTCAGGAGCTGCTAGAGAGCTCCTGGAGCTCAGCAGGAGCAGGGCAGGAGCTCCTGGAGCTCAGCAGGAGCAGGGCAGGGTCAGGAGAGCCCCTGGAGCTCAGCAGGAGCTCCTGGAGCTCAGCAGGAGCAGGGCAGGGTCAGGAGCTGCTGGAGAGCCCGTGGAGCTCAGCAGGAGCAGGGCAGGGTCAGGAGAGCTCCTGGAGCTCAGCAGGAGCAGGGCAGGGTCAGGAGAGCCCCTGGAGCTCAGCAGGAGCTCCTGGAGCTCAGCAGGAGCAGGGCAGGGTCAGGAGAGCCCCTGGAGCTCAGCAGGAACAGGGCAGGGTCAGGAGCTGCTCTGCTCCCCCAGGACCCTCAGTTACTGCCAGAGCTTCTGCCCTGGGATGTTCTCCAGCCTGGGATCTGGGCACGGATCAGCCCTGGGCCCTGGCAGGAGGTGCAGGAGCTCAGCCAGAGGCAGGAACAGCCCCAGGAATGGGATCAGGGTGGGGCTGGGAGCAGCCTGGGATAACGGGAGGTGTCAGGGCTGGGATGAGATGGGCTTTGAGGTCCCTTCCCAGCCAAACCCCTCCAGCATTTCACCATTCCGTGCCTCAGAACGCCAGGAAACGACTGCAGGAAGATTTCCCTGGATCTGCCTGGCCTGGTTCCATCCCAAATCCCACTGGAAAGGGACTCCAGGCACCATCCAGGACAGGGATTTGTCCTGCCCAGGAACAGGAGCCCTTCCCAAAGGGCTCAGCCATCCCAGCAGGATGGAGCTGCCTCTCCAGGCACTGCCCTGCCCACAGGAGCACTTCCCTGGTAAAACCGGGATGAATTCCTGACAGAACACAGCTGGCAGGAACATCCCCCACCTCCACAGGATCACTGGTGTCTCATCCAATGCTTCCAAAAGCCACTTTTGGCCAAGGATTCCTGCTGCAGTCCGTGACAGCGAGGACACTGCTCTGGATCCGGGATATCCGGCACCCACGGCTGCTTTTCCATGCAAATATTGCTCAGGATTTGGCTTTTTGGGGGTGTGCAGGCAGGAGCTGGGGCTCTGCTGTGAGCAGAAGCTGGATTTTCATTATGCACTCCCAGCCTGTGCTATCCCAGCTTTATTCCAGGTGGGAATTCCCTGCTGGATTCTGGGCTAAGGAGGGGGATGATCACTCCCCAGAGCCAGGGACACTGACAGTGAAAGGGATCTCTGGAAAATCCAGACAATCCTGCTGTTCTCCCCTGCTCCCATCCTGGGAAGGTCGGGATTGGGACAGGCTGGAAGCCTGAATTCCCAGCTGGCAGAGCTCAGCAGAGCCAGCAGTGACTGGCCAGCCTTCTCCAGGCTCAGCATTCCA